ATCCAAATCGAACTGTATCTCCGCTCTTTTTCCCCCTCACTGGCCTCTTGCCCGCGACAAATATCAAACAACCGCCTCTCCGACAGTTCCCTTTCCTCTCATAGACCAATCACCGCATCGGTCATCTGAAGTAGACACCCTCACGTTCCGCGCTTGAGAGAGGTGGGGGTGAGGGTGGGTGTGATTGTGTTTGAGTTAGTATATCAATTTCTTTGTGTTTGTATGTATGTGTGTGTGTTTGTATGTGTGTGTGAGTGTGTGTATATGTGTGTATGTGAGTGTGTGTGTGTGTGTGTATGTGTGTGTGTATGTGTGTGTGTGTGTTTTTATGAAAGAGAGATAGATTGATCGATAAATACATAACTATCGATAGAGAGAGAGAAAGAGAGAGAGATAGAGAGAGAGAGAGAGAGAAGGGTAGGAGAGAGAGAGAGAGAGAGGGAGAGAGAGAAAGAGAAAGGAAGACAGAGAGAGAGCGAGTTAGAGAGAGAGAAAGATAGAGAGAGTGAGAGAGAGAGTGGGAGAGAGAGTGAGTACGTGTTTGTGTGTATATGTGTGTAAAGGGGGGGGGGGGTTGTGTGTGTGCCTTTATGTTTTTTTAAATTGCATTTACTTAGTATAAAAAATACCCTGATTGCACTCCAGCATCAGGTTGTTTTGTAGTAATCCGTGTTTTGTTTTTTTGGTCGTTATTCTGTACAATATATATGCATAAAACAAAATTTTCCACGTTGTTTTCATTTGTTGTAAAAAGGTAATGAACGTGGATGCGTGGATGGGGTGGGGATTGTTTACGTTCCCATCGAAAGAGGGAAAAAGGTCTGAGGTAATTATACTTTAAACAAATTCTTTTCCAGAATATTTGTTATCCTTCTTTTTGTCTTATGCAACCATTAAAGACAGAAACGGGATACAATTTTAAACATTGAACTTTGCTGAGATACAAGTGGAAACTATTAGTACATTTTATGTTTCTGTGGGAGCCTCTATCAACATAACGTTAAAAGCACTTAGTACAAGGTATTCGGTAAATGCTCCATTCCTATGTGGTTGCTTTTAAGGACACGCGGGGTAACCCTGATATTG